GTAAAGCGTGTAATCATATCCTTAATTGACTCTTTTGGCTTCATTACGAATAATTCGTAATTACGCATGAATATGTCAATCTTAGATTTTTTTACACGTGAGGTTCCCTCATGAGTGACCTCGAGCAAATCCCACATTTGTTTTGCAGTCTTGCATCCTAGAACCTGATTGTGTTCGGCAGGACCAAGACCGCAAATTAGATATTTAAGGGCTTGGGCATTATGCCCGAGTTTCTCATAATCTTCAGAAGTATATTCAACTTTAGGTTTAGGAACAACATTACCTTCGGCGTTTCTCTTTGTGATGACATTATCACCACTTTCAATTACATTCCAAACCTGGTAGTTATCGGCCTTGATAAAGTTTTCCATCTGACTTTTCCAAAATTGATAGTATTTGCCATTGAACAATGGTGGTCGTTGAGTCGAGTACCCTTCTTCCAATCGGTCAACCGTATTCATTTTGCCGGATCTCTTCCCAAGGTATTAGCCTCTATGTGGTGAAGACCGGCTCTGATACCAATTGATGAAAACGGTTAGCAACACAAGAGGGGGGGGGGGGGGGGGGGGGGTGAATTGTGTGTGTGTGGAACCGTGGCAGTTTTTCGCCGAGTTCTAGTGTGGGATAAAGGGAATTGCGAAATAGTAAAGTGCACGAGAATTTAACGAGGAAAAATCCCTTGGCTCAAAGGGATTAAAAAACCTCGACCTCCCTCGGAGGAATTTTAAACAACTTCACTAAACAAGCCTTTGAAAGAGTTACAAGAGTGATTCTCCTAATCTACCCTTGAGCCTCCCCAACTCTATCCTCTCTAGGAAGAGTTATGCATCTCTACCTTGCGGGTAGAGAGCCTCTCAGCTTTATCACAAAGCTCTCACACACACTTAACCCGAGGCAGCTACTCTAGCCAATTAAGCCTCAATATTCCAAGTACAATATGAAAGGGAAAAGAGAAATTCTATCTAGAACTCCGAGCGGGCAGTTTCAGACGCCAAGGACTTGATCCTTTTCTTGAATGATTCTTCTAAATATTTTTCTCGGTTCAGCACACATTCTTCTTCTTCTCGATCTCGATTATATAGACTGCTAGGAATGGATCCGTTGAGACTCTTCTTTCTTTAGATGTTTGAGGAACTTGCCTTGATATTATTTGAAATACTTTCCTTTTATTTAAGGATCTTCTAGCTCTTCATTATGATGATCCTTGGTCAACCATAAATATGTGGGAGCAAGAGGATACGTGCATATCATGAGCAAGTAAGAAGAAAGGAATAGAATATATTATGTGATCAATCATTTAATAGCAATTAACATGGAAATGATTTATTCTCTTATATGAGCATGCAACGAATCTTATGTGGATTATATTTCAAACAAGGATCCCTATTCAAATTGGTATAAATTATTCTCAAATAAAATATTTTCTTAACCAATATAGGCATGCAACGGCCAAGTGCCAAAAATATATTCAATTATGAGACATGCAATCATGTATAGCAAGCCAAGATACTTTCCAAAAAAAAATATTCATTTAATATTTTAACTAGGGATGACTTTTCAAAATCGTATATCAAAGAAATATTTACTTAACAAATTTAAGCATGTTACGTTCAACTTCTATAAAGGTAGTAAAGATGCTTTCCATTAAATATTAAATTATTTAGGTTAACTCACTTAAGTGGGAGACCAATCATTTATGAAAATATATTTAAATTATGCCACTTTCATGATTACTTTCCATAAAGCATATGTAACAATACATTCCACAAAATTTCAATCAATTATGGAAAGATATTAATGCATGTAAAATATCATACGTTGAAAGACATGCACACGCAGACTAATTATGGGACCGAGAGTTTCGTGGAACTGTTCTGTCCAGAGTTCATATTAGAACTCTCCGTAGTCGGTTCTGTCCCCTGTTCCACCTGCATGGTTAGTCATCAACAAAACCACATACTCAACAGTTTTCATCAACGATGTGCATGCCATATTATAAATTTATGTGTGCAAGATGGTATAAAAGCGTTAGGAGATGCTATGGAGGTAGTCAAGGGAGGGATTAGACGTATTTGGGGCAATGGTCAACTTAAATTAAAATGGCAAAATTATTTGATTGAAAGAGGTGTGAAATATGTTGCTTTTCCTAAAGATTTGTCTATTCGGTGGAATAGTACTTATAAATTAATTAAAGTTCTTCTTAGATATAAAAACATTTTTCTGCCTTTTTAAGACAATATGATAACTACATTTTAAACTCCGCTAACATCGACACTTGTGAGAAAATTTGTAATGTTTTGATATATTTTAATAATGGAACTGATAATTTTAGTCATGTTTATAAACCTACCTCAAACGAATTCATTTGTGAAATTGTTAATCTCGCCGGTGCTTTTAATGAATTTGATAATGCCGCTTACGTGAGTTATTTTTGTGATTTTATGAAGGAAAAGTTTTTAAAATATTATGCACATATTCCGCATATTTATGGTATTGCATTTATTCTCGATCCTCATTATAGACTTGGTAATTTGGAAGAATGTTTGAAGTTCTATTATAATGCTTTTTTTGGTCCATTTTCAATGTATGACGATAACGCCATAGATCCGCAAGTTGAATACAACGAGGTTATTAATTTATTTTATGCCTTATTTAATGAGTTTCATGCACAATATGGCAACGCGCCTCCTCCCCCGACACACATATCTTCATCTAAAGGAAAATCACTTTTTAAATCTGCTTTTGGCAATCTTATGAAAAAAACTAAAACAACTCACACTACTGAACAAAGCGCACTTAATGAGATTTCTTTGTATATAAATTATGAGGTAAAATTTGACGAATATGAGGAGTTTGACGTTCTAAAGTGGTGGAAGTCAAAAGAAAGAATGTTCCTGATTTTGGCACGGATGGCTAAGCAAGTGCTATAAATTCCGGTTTCAACAGTTGCCGTGGAACAAGAATTTAGTTCGGCCGGCAACGTTGTAACGGCATCTAGAACGAGTTTGAGCGCTGAGTCTCTTGAGACGCTTATATGCTACCACGATTGGTTGAAGGTCATACATAGAACTCAAGAAATTAGCATCACCCCCTCCCAAGACTTTATGGATGAATCAACAACCGAGGGTGGTTCCTATGCCGGAGATTCCGATTAATTAGTATTTTACAATTTATTATAAAATGTATTTCATGTTTTGATTTTTCCCTCAATTCTCTATTGTAATTTGTAAACTTGTAATTCATATTTCAAATAAATATACATCCTTTTTTTTATATATGTAGCACTTCTCAAATTAATTAATTAATTGGTTACAAACTTACAACTTACAACTTAGAATTAATTATATAAGTATTTATTGAAAAAATGTATTTCATATTTAAGTTGGATTAATAAGTAAAAAAAATTACATTGGCCCGGCCCAACCCGGCGGGTGACCCAGCCCGAACCGGCACCGGGCGAAGGATGGGCCGGTTCCGGGCCCCCATTCCAGGACCGGAGGCCCGATCGGGCCCGACCCGGTGCGAGTCCAGGCCTTAATTTGGGGTAGTATTCTTATTCGAGTGTTTATGTTTTAGTGTTTGCTTTTATTTTCGAACTGGGTTTTCTTTTGATTGTGTTTTCTCTAGAGTTTGGTAGTAGTTTGCTGATTAAGGTGACTTTTGATTTGTGTAAGGTGACTAACTCTAAATAGGAGTTCCATAGCGGATGATCGGGAGAAGATTTGTTATCGTATTGTAACTTACCTGAATTCTAATTTTTTAATATAAATCACGAGTTTTTACCATTTTTGGTCCCGACTAATGTGTCACTGACACTTTCAGTACTCGATTTCTAATTTTTCCATTTTTAGTCTTTGACTATAGTGCTAGAGGCACTTTTAGTCCCCGACTTCAAGGTTTCCACATTTAGTCTCCTGAGTATTGTCAAATTGGCACTTTTAGTCCAACCATTATAATTTTGAAACAATAAATGGAGGACTAAAAACGTTACAAGTATAATAGTTAAAGGATCAAAAGTGTCACTTTTATAAAAGTTGAAGGACTATGTATGAAAATTTTCAAAGACAGGTACCAAAAGTGTTTATAGCGCAATAGTCGAGAACTAAAAACGGAAAAAGTCAAAGTCAAATATCAAAAGTGTCAATGATGTAATAGTCGGAGGACTAAAAGTAGAAAAAACTAGAAATCGACCCCTCCTTAATTAATTAATCTCATGACGGCATTGTTTTCTTATCAAGTTGTTGTCACTCTTTCCTTTTGAGTTGATATATTTTTGGGTGCATTCAAACGCTTTTGAATTGACGATACAACAAATTAGGTCTTCACAATCTGCATTTATTGAGACGGCATTATTAGTGAATTGATGTGAACTACTACGTAACTGATAAGGAAGAAAGCAACCTCTGGGAAAAATATCCTTTCTGTTATACTCTTAAATTATGGGTCTTTTTTTCTCATTCGGGCACCTGAATTGGCAAATAATGCCCTAGCTTACACTAGACAAAAGGTCAAGGCAATTAATGTTCTCATCGAATAAGGACCAATGCTTTTCCACACAAATTTACTTCTATGATCATAAATTGATCTGGTGTACACTTATCCATTTAAAGTAACTGGATTTGTACAGTAAAATTATCCTATTCCAAAGGACTTGGGGGGTTAGGATACATATGAATTTGCTACGAGTTTTAAAAAAATAAAATATAAAGTGGTTGTTTGATAACTTTGACTTCTAAAAGTAAGAAACACAAGAACGAATCCACAAAAAGTAGGTGATGAAATGATAGATAAAGGATTTAGTTGAAAATAGTTAGTAAACACAAATTTAAAAAGTGTTTATATTTGTGAAAAATTCAAAAAAGAAACGTATCTTACAAAATGGGACAAAGAGAGTACGTGTTAGTATGTAGGTGCATTCATGACATTTTAGAGTCAAACTTTAGTACTTGTCTTTAAATAAAATTGAAAATTATTATAACGGAAATGAAATTCGTCTTTCGCAAAAAATTAAATTATAATTCTGTTCAAATAAAGTACTATGTATCCAATTAGAGGGAAATATTGCAACCGCGGACGTCTCTAGGTTTTCTGCCTAGCTAGTTCTGCCGGCAGCGGCGTTTGGCCGCTTAGGTCCGGAGTTTTCTTGCGCGTTGATTCGTTTTCCCATTGGTATTCCATCAGGCTTAAACATCGGCTCACAGGCTCGAAGAAGGGGGAAGACAGGTTCGATTTTTCATCGCTGCAAGGGTGCGGCTTCTGGCGTTTCCCTTGCGTCTCCTTGTCCTTTTGTTTTGCAGGTTTATTTTAGTTCGGCACCTTTGCTTTGGGGGGCTTTGAGAAGGAGTCTGCTGACTGCCGCTATTGACGATCCCTTGGATTCTGAGAAGATTTGCGACTGATTTTGGTGAAGCGATGCTGTCGCAATCCGGACGGGCTCTGGTCACGACGAATATGGAGGTGATGATCATCAATTGTGATAACATGTTTCTTGAGGGAGATGAAGGAAAACTGATTCAGGAAGAGGAGGACACGGGCGAGGAAGAGGCTCCAAACAGGAGTCCTAGGGCGAAAGAAGACGAAGAGGTGGATGAAGGTCTGATGATTCGTCCTCCTCCTGAGCCGCCGCCGAGGATGATGCTTGAAGCAGGGATTCGTTTGCTCTGTCAGTTTATTTTATTTTATTTCGTTTTACTCTTGTTGAGGTTCTTAGGCATGAATACTGTCGTTGTTGTTTTCTGTATTCTTTCTTTCTGCCAGACTCTTACATTAGATGGGGGCGATGAGGGTTTTGCTCTGGCCACGTTTGACTCATTTAGATCCATTACAGCACAAGCAAATCATATTGCTCTATACAGGGTGATTGGTTCTCCAGCTGGTCCGAGGGTCGGTGGCTGGAAGTGTTTCCTTTATCGTTTGTATCCTTGCTGAATGTTTTATTATCAATTTAAGCCTCCTTGTTACAAAAAAAATGTACTATGTATAAATTAAAAGTACTAGAATTGTACACTAACCTTGAACCGAAATTAAACTTTGACAGTTTTCCTTTACTTAAACACAATTATCTTTCTAGACATTTATGAGATTTTTAGGCCGAGTGATAAAAAATCGGGTTCTTATTATAATTTTGGGCCGTGTTCATGCTCTACGACCAGCCGTGTTGTAGGGACAAAATCATAATCCAACAGCAATAGTAAAGACAAAAACACTATCCCACAGATAAGAAAAGGCCCCAATGCTAGATAACGCACTAAAATATGCTTCTTTCTTTTAACACCCTAGTGATCAACATTTTGTAAAAATTGACGAGGCTTTTATTTTGCACCAATGAAGTGAATAAATTACTATTTTGACAAAGATAATGACGATCATATCTTTTAAAAAATACGAAGTATATCATGATTTACATTTGAATAGTACGCACTAATTATGTGATATCTTCCAATATATTGGTATTTTTATACTCCGTACAACGAAACTGAAGGAATTTCCCCAAACATTGATGATCACATTCAATCACACCTACGCACGACTAGGTGTGAATAAGGAGAAAATTGGAAGAATGATCAATGATCGAAATCTGCAGTGACCGTGTGAAGATTACAACTCACGCGTGTTGGACTGGACCTGCAGTGAAAGTTGGAATAATGATCAATGATCGAAAACTGCTGCGACCGTGTGAAGATTACAGCTCATGCGTGCTGAACCTCTTGTGCGCATGGGTATAAAGTCTATCATTATTGTCCGACGGAATCACCATGACTTATAACTTGAGAGAATTTCCTAAATAGGACTAAAAGAAAGTAGAATTGCAAAAACAGGACTCTTATGTTTCATTAAACAAAGATAGGACCAAAAAGAGTTAATCTGACAAAACTACCCTTAATGAGAACAATTAAGGCCGTGCGTGCGAGTTTCCCAGGTGTGCGTAACTGCGTATGGTGTGCGTATGTAGGTGTTTGTTTCCAAGCATCCATAGTTCAGGATCTACTGTCAATGACGCCTCCACCACCCTTCATCAAATCGATAACCACTGCCCACCACACCTCGTCGAGTTCGTTGTCATCATTCTCTGAGAAGGCGCTGATGAGTTTGTGCAGACCTCAAGGGGGAATAGGGGGGATGACATCTTAATAACAAAAATGACATAACAATGACATTTTTTGTATTAAAAACATGGCATTTCCGAGTGTAAATTATGATAATATATCATATTAAAAAATGGAAGATTAAATTTGAAAAATGTAAAATATGGGGGAAAAGCAAAAAAGAAAGATCAATAATAAAATGCCATCTTCACAAAGCTAGTAGCAAAAAATGACATTATTTGTCAAATAGGTCAAAAACATGGCATTCCATATATTTTAATTCCAAAGAAATCTTGTCAATTTGGTAGGGAAAAATGACATTATTTGTCAAATGGGTCAAAAATATGGCAATCCATATATTTTAATTCCTAAGCAATCTTGTCAGTTTGATAGGAAGAGCAATGATAATGTCATACAAGTGACATTTTTTCAATTCAGTGTTCAAATAATAACTCAAGTCATGGCATTTTTCAAATTCGAAAATAATAAATATATAAACAGTGTAATATAATTTCTGATAACTCATTGTTGAGACCTTGGTTTATATTCTCATCCAAAATTTTCTAATCTAAAACAATTTTTTAGAATCCTAAAAGTAAGAAAGTGGACTGAAAATTAAAAAAATAAAAATAAAAATGGAACAGAGTAGGAGCAGGAAGTAGAAGAAAATAGGCTAGAAGAGAGGAGAAAGAGAAGAAAAGAGAAGAGAAGAGAAGAAGAGAAAGGAGATGCAGAAAATTACTTGAGGTCGCCGGAGATCGGAGACGACTAGCGGTGGCCATGGTACGTTGGGGTGTCGAAAAGCGGCGGCTATGACAGTGATATCGACAAGCGCGTTGCAGCTTTGGAAGCTCGGCTAACCGCCATGGACCTGTGAATAGATTCTTCATAGGAGATGACATCGATCTGCATCTGGGGTCGTAAATAAGAGTCGGTGATTTTGCAACTGGGGTGAGGTTAATTAAATGAAGGGTAATATTGTAATCTGGAGTCCTATTTGGAGAATAATAAACTTCTGGTCCTATTTTTGAGTTTTGACTATGTTTTAGTCCTATTTTGGACAATTTCTTCTTATAACTTCCCAAAAGTCTTATCAAGTCCGGATGTGTAGGACTCTTAGGGTTGGGGATTCAACAAAAAAAGTCATATTCAATCACAATCGATCTTCCAATCAACTGGATTAAAGTGTGGGGTTGATGATGAAAGGGATCTTGAACCGTATGAAGTAACTTTTCAGTCGTCTTTGTTGCGTCTCTTGTGCGTCTCCCCTAAAACTAATAATTGCTTTCTTCCTGAGCTATCTAGTTGTTTGCCTTGCATACATGCAATTCCTGATGTATGTGCGTGCATACACATTAAGATACACTTTTAAGAAACTTACAATTCAATGTTCAAAATGAATGACCAAAACATAATACCAATTGCATAAATACGTGAAATTGTAAATACATTTGAAACTAACCATCACTGTCCAATCATATAACATCCTCGTCATATTTCATTACACTTGTAGATATATATGCAACACTTGTCCTGTACGTTTGCAAGCCTAGCTAGGGGCGAAAAAGTAAAAAGAACCTAATCTTTATAAGAATTGTAAAACCCATTTCTGTCTAAAGTGACATGAATAATAATAATAATAATAATAATAATAGTAATAATAATAATAATAATATTTTAAGACATTTATAAAAAATCATAAAACACTCTTCTGTCTAAACAACAAATTATACGGAGTAATATCAAGTCCTAAATTCCCCCCTCCAATGACACGATCAATCTAAATCATTTATTTTTGGTAGCTAAATCACATTTCTTCTCCGAGTTCTTATCTTGATGATGATATTTAGAATTTGACTTCTTTACCCATATAAACTTTTCCATTGAATCTTTTTTATTTAGTCCCGCTTTCTCTAATTTTCTCTTCCTTTTTCTCTATCCTATTCAGATTTAATCATTTTAATAACACCTTGAAAATATTAAATTTAATCTAATTATAATAGAAATACCTAACAAAATCAACAAATTATAACACCAAGACGTTACTCAATAGATAACAATCAACAATTAAGAAATCAAACAATCAACTATTCCAATACGCATAGCAAACTAATATGCTTCCAAGTGATTTTTTTTAATGAAATTTTGTGAGCATGTTTTCATCAAGTGTAGATAATGTGCACAAACTTTCACCTTAAAATTTAGTTGTGAAGTCAATTATATAAGTTGTTGAAAAATACTGCGTCAAAATATGCATAGAAAACGCAAAGTTTTTCAATAATTTATTTCACTGAATTTAGATTGAATTTTAAATTGAAATTTTGTGAAGATAGCATAAACTTCATGATAGAGAATGTGCTCATACATTTTCATAAAAAATTCCTCACAGAAGCTCCCCAAACAATTCCACTCAAAAAATTATTCTCTTATGATTGAAAAATCAATCTACCCACACATCTCCCACATCCATAGGTCCTCTGATCTTCTTCATTTATTCAATTCAGCCTGTATTATTATACTATCGTATTTGAAATAACACAGTATTAAACATACGTAGTACTATATTAAACTATAGGTGCTTGAGCTTTAATATAGGTGCTTTATTATATAGCTTTAAAACTATAGGTGCTTGGCTGTATATTAAACTATAGGTGCTTGTCCAACCAGCTTTAATATATACAATGCACTAACATAGAGATTACAATTCTCAACGTTAAAATTAGTATTATCCTGATTCCCGATCGTGTACAACAAAAATTTATTATACAACATTATTGCATACAATAAAAATTCCACCCGAAAGCACTTCAAATGGTCTTGGCTGAACAACACTTCTGGTATATCCCAATGTATGAGAAAAGTTCTCTTAGTATATACTACGTACTTCGTGTATTGATAGAGCATTAGATGAAAGTTTTTTCCTATATTGACAGAACATTGATTGAAAAATTAATGAGACAATTAGAACTAGTTTGTAAATACCTATGGTGATAATTGACAATATAAAAAGAAATTTTATCTTCACAATACTAATTAACTCTTTTATTTTTCTAATTATTGAGTTTTCTAAAAAGTATATGATCTTATTAATAAGCAATTGACTATGCATGCAAACTGCCCTTACTACCAGAAACTCCTCACACCCCCGACCCCTCTCATCTATCCTTCATGCAATCTCCATTGCCATTGATCTGAGGCAGCCTCACTAAACTAACTATATATCTCACTGGATTGAAAAACAACCAACAGCATAAATCTTTTTCCTCTCTATGCTAAGTCGGTTCACATCAAACAGATTCATATATTACTGAACTAGTTTCATCAATCACTAACATTTCTGATCATCATTCCACTTATTCATCACTTCCGGTTGAACTTTGCACCCTCTAGAAAATACGGATAGAGGGCTTAGGGAAGAAGATATTGGAGAAGATGGCTGGAGGACGACATTCTAAGCAGCACCATTGGAGTGTCATGTGTTTTATGTTGACTGTTCTGTGTGTTTTGTTTCATGGATTTTTGTCGACTGAAGCAAGTAGGCTTGGGAGGGTACTGGAGAAAAACAGAGGAAACAACGGAGAGCAGAGCAGGAGGACAACTGTTATGGCGGCGGCAGATGTTGCGCTGGCAACTGGCGGCTATGGAAAAGGTGGGAAAGGTGGTTTGGTTCCTGGAGGGAGTTATGGTCAAGGGGGTGAATCAGGTTATGGGAATGGGAACAATGGAAAGTGTACTCGAGGTGATTGTCGTGGCGGTGGCGCAGGAGACTACTGTGGGGGATGGAGCGGTGGTTGTGGTGGTGGAGGCGGGGAAGGAAGGACTTATGGTCCCGGAGGGAAAGGTAGTGGGGAATATGGAGGTTCCGGTGGTGACATTGGTGGCGGGTGGCGGTGGCGGTGGTGGTGGTGGGGGTTTTGCTAGAGGTGGGTATGGCGGTGATAATGGTGGCGGTGGAGGTGGGGGTGGCGGTGGGGGTTTTGCTAAGGGTGGGTATGGCCGTGATAAGGGAAACTATGGCGATGGAGGTTTTGGTAAAGGTGGGTATGGTGGTGATAATGGTAGTTTTGGTGGTGGTGGGGGTTCTGGTAGTGGTTTTGGAGGTGATACTGGTAATTTTGGTGAAGGTAGTGGTGGTTATGGACATTATGGACCCGGTAGCTAATAGATGGTTGGCTCTCAAGAGAATTAGGAATGAAACTTCATCAAATATCATATAGGCACTTGCTAATGATCACCATTTGCTGCAAAAGTTAGCCTGCTGTTATTATATTTAGTAGTATTTACATGTTTAGTCTCTTAGACTTGTAGTTGACAACATTGGCCAATGCTATAGTTACAATAAGCACATCAATGATAACATGACAAGTATTATTACTATGTATTGTTGTTATTTTAATAATAATTATTATATTATTAAATTTGGCAATAAATGTTACGTACTACTGAAATTAAAGATAAAAAGTTGAAAAGAAAGCATATCTAGTTAGTATTTATGATTGAGCTTATAAATATTTGTATCCAATTACTAATAAGAAGTGGCACAAATATTATTAATATGCTTTTATCGGGGGAAAATATGAGATCGTGATGGTTATTGATTTTGTGTGGCGCCAGTGACACTAGAGGAGCATGAGATCATGGTTAGTGATTGTCTTTAGAGTTGACCTCTATGGTTGGGGTTTTGGTGATGTCTTAAGAGGAATATGATAGTAATCATCTGCAAGGTACGAATCAAGTAAGCCGACTCATAAGTTAGGCGAGATCGACTCAGTTCAAACTTAACTTGTACTCGAACTCGATTCGAACCAATTCAATCCAAGCTCAAGCTATATACAAAGTTACAATCTCAACTCGAAAAGGTCTCGGGCTGATCAGTTATGAGTTAATATTGATATTTTGAATTTATACATATGACATTACATCATATATCCATAATATGAGTCCATAATGTTCCTATAGAGATGTATCTCATTGAAACTATGGCATTGGCCAATGTATAATTGGGCGATGCCGAAATACAGAAAGGATTCAATTTACCTGTATTAAAAGAAATGAGGCGTCAAAAGATGAATAACTACTCCGTATAATATAATATAGGGCATGTTAGAATCTGCAGAAAAGTTCTAACAGAATACACAAAGGAATCAAGAAACAAGGGGCAACTTTATTACTCAGGCTACAGTTTGGCCGATGGCCTCAGGCAACATAGCGTTCACTTTACAAATGAATTTTCAGCATGCTTTTACAATCCCTTCTACTTCTATTTATAGTATGCTATGTAACTGCCAGCAGTTACTATAGTTATGACAACTAACTAACCCCGAGACCTTATTACGACTTATTCTAATTATTAATATTTTCTATAGGTCCCTAACAAATCTCCCCTCCTGAACATCCACCTTGCCCTCAAGGTGGACGAAAGGTAGCAGCCACAAGATCCTTTTTCTTCTTCATCCTAGCGCTCCTGCCTTCCCAATATTTCACAAATTTCTGAAAGAGAAACTTCATCATTCTGTCTTGCCAATTCACAGGTGTTTCCTGAACCTCCCTGCTATTGTGAAGCAACCTGGGAACTGAACCACCAATTGTGAATGAAGATACAAATTCAGCTTCTTTCTTGGGCTGGATATTAAGATCAAAAGTCTCTTGTTCCATGTTCTGCCCCTGCTCATTCTCTTCACCATACAGTAGATACCTCTCCATAGTTGGGTGCAGAATCTGCGCATTGATTGTGTTAGAAACATCTTTTTCATTCAGAAGTATATCCCCTTTTATGGAGCAAATCTGATTCCCTTGCTTCCACATGATGGACTGGTGTTTGAAATTGATTGCCATATTTCCCAATTGAGTTAACCATTCCATGCCTAGCACCAATTCTATCCCTCCTAGCTCTAGTATGTAGAAAACTTGTTGGATTACACTCCCTTGAACATCTAATTTCAGCCCCATACATCTGCCATTATTGGAAATGAACTCTCCATTACCAGTCTGGACCCTATAACCTTTGATTTGATGGAAAGGAATTTTATACTCATCCACCAATTTCTGTGAGATAAAATTGTTGGAAGCACCACAATCAATGAGGACCTTTACTGGTTTGTCTCCTGAAAACCAGCTTAGTAATCCTATTACCTTAAAAGTTCTCCAAGACTGTATATCTTCATTGTTGAGCACAGATAATTTCAATGATTTGAGTTCAGGGTGAGGTCCCTCTTCTTCAGAAATGCTGTCCTCCACTTCAGTTTCTCCCTCTCCTTCAGAAAGTTCCATCAAAACCATTCTGAAATTTTTCATCTTACAGATATGCCCCCTATTCCAGTTTTCGCCACACTTGAAGCATAAACCTTTCTTACTCCTTTCCATTACTTCTTGTTGGGATAATCTGGGGCCTGTTTTCCCAGAACTGGAACCTTCACCAGCAGAATGTGTAAGAATTGGATTACTGCCACTTCTTATCCCTTCCTCCCCTTTATGAAAACTGCTTCCTTTAATTGTAATGTTCTTCCATGGTCTTTTACCCTCTTCTTTATTTCTTCTTGACAGTATTTCTTCATTCTTATCCTCAATCACCTGTGCCTTATCCATTATTTTCCCCAGATCTTTGGTCTTATACAGCTTCATTTCTGCTCTAATATCCTTCTTTAATCCATTCAGAAATATAGCTCTCATTACCTTTCTGTCCAAATTCTCTTGCGATCCAATAGCTTTTTCAAATTGTTCCCTGTACTCCTGTACAGAATTTCTTTGCTTCAGACTCAACAAAGGCCCCAATGGATTTTGAATGAGCTCTGGTTGAAATCTCCTAATCATTGCTTTCTTGAATTTTTCCCAATTCCTTTCTCTAGCTTGTTTTTCCCACCATTGAATCCATCCCAGCGCCTTTCCTTCCATGGCAACTACTGCCACTTCGATTTTTTCTTCCTCTTCCGTGTTATTGAGGCGAAAATAACGTTCGATCCTCACAAGCCATCCAAAAGCATCTTCACCTTGAAATAGAGGTAAATCAACCTTCCTGTGCGTCTGTTGATGTTGGCGAGGTTGATGATGTTGGCGAGTTGATGCGTACTCCGGTTGACTATCTGAACTGTCGGAACTGTCCATCGATTTCTTCGAATGATGCTTCGCTGACGGTCGCGTTGACTGAAGCGATGAAGGTCGCGATGATCGGTGCGAAGATCGATGCGAAGCGTGCGACCTGCTACGCGATCTACTTTCTCCTCGCGATTCCAATCGGGCGATCGATGCCTGAAGAGCCGCGAACATATCTCTAGTCTCCTGTCGCGATCTTTCCATCTTTTCATCCAATTCATTCATTCTGGCTTCCATCTTGGTTCTCGTCACTACCATTCACCGTGATCGATAGGCTCTGATACCAATGTTAGAATCTGCAGAAAAGTTCTAACAGAATACACAAAGGAATCAAGAAACAAGGGGCAACTTTATTACTCAGGCTACAGTTTGGCCGATGGCCTCAGGCAACATAGCGTTCACTTTACAAATGAATTTTCAGCATGCTTTTACAATCCCTTCTACTTCTATTTATAGTATGCTATGTAACTGCCAGCAGTTACTATATTATGACAACTAACTAACCCCGAGACCTTATTACGACTTATTCTAATTATTAATATTTTCTATAGGTCCCTAACAGGGCATTTGTGCAACCTGTTCCAAAAGAAGATAAATATCAAAATTTAAACTAACCATCAATCACAGCCAATTGAAAAACAAATACCCATGAGACAATCAGCTACATTATTTCCATTGAAAGATTTTTTTTAATATATTCACATCTTCTTTTATCAAAATTAGCACAACAATAGTACAATCATTAGTCACTCAGCTACTATAATTCACGTAGCAGCTTTAAAATTCATAGTAGCGAACCCTTCCTTTAGGGTATATTTGGGAGTTGGGGTTTGGAGGGGAGGGGATGATTGAGAAGGGTTTATGACCCTCCCTTTCATGTTTGGGAGTTAAAATATATGGAGGGGATGATTTTGGAGGGTTTTGTAACACTCCAAATCCCTTCAAATGCTCAATTTTTAAGTTCTCCCAAATTGGGGGATTTTGAAGGATAGCTAATTAAATGACAACTTTAGCTCACTTTTAAATAAATATAAATTCAATTATTTGAATTCGTCATATATGTGAATTGATTTTAATTATAATTCATCCAAAACCCCTATCTTTTCAAACTTGTTACTCCCACACAAGAAGAATGGTTTCCCTCCCCTTCCCTCCCAATGACTAACCTTGAAAACCTTCCCCTCTTCTTCCCTTCAAACTCCCAAACATAACCTTAGGGGCCGAAGTCTATAATTAGACAAACGCTTACCTTAAGGATAAAAGTCTATGTTTGTATAAATACTAGCCAACATAGAGTAAAGATGACTACATTTGTATAAATACTACCACTGGAAATTGAAACCCTGAACTATAGCCTTCCGATGTGTACTGAAAGTAAACTGCTTGTTTTCAGAGGTGCATTAAATGAACCTGTAAAAGCTACATAATAGATCAGAAAATTTAGTGTCCTCAAAAGTTGAGCCTTGATCCATTGAGAAACTGTTTGGGTCTGGAAAAAACATGTTGATATGCAGGTTGGATATAATTAGTAAATTATTGTATTATAAGGAAAAATAAACATAAAATCAAAAAGCTCATTAGGTTTTGATTGTAAAAGTTGACATTGGTTTGGGATGAATTAAATAGAAAGTCAGATATAAAGTAACATGATAGTAGACAACAATACAACATTATCATCTAAGGAATATGGATCATTCTTGGTGTACACAAGTTGTACACAAAATGTGTACATTGCCTGTGTACACAGACAACTAGGGGGGTTTTGTGTACAACTGGTGTACAACTCATGTACACTAAGCATTTTCCAAGGAATATATTGCACGGAGGAAATGAACCTCGGATATGTGGGAACTGTCATCCAATCATAGTTGATTGGGCCTTTGACACTGTAGCGGCATTTTGCCACTATAATTCAGTTATGCGCATGTGAAGCCATATGCTTTCAGCTTGTGTATGCACAACACCTCCAAGGCAAAGAGCTTTTGCTACTGGTTGAAAGAAAGACGTTTCATACAGCTCTGCGCTGGACCTGCGGATAAAGTTTTTAGAGACATTTAAAGAAAAGTAGAGATTATTGAGACAGAAATATATGTCAAAAAGATAGAGGGATTTTACAAATAGAAATCTGTAAGTGAAAAAAATAGAGGAACGATGCTACAAACATAAATCTATGTAAAAAAGTATGGCCGAGATGGTATTATATCTTCTTCAAGAGCTGCTCTCTTGCATTCAATTCTGAATTGAGTAATTACTTTTACATGCTAGGATTGTCAAGGTAAAGAGTACGACACAAAAATATACCAACTGACTATTTCCAGATACTTGCTTTATTTTTAATGAATGAAAAAAAATATCTCCCTTATATACTTGAGAGGTTATGTAACGGAGATCATAAGAAACATGTGGTTAATTGTTTTATTGGTTGGCAAGTGAAAATTTTAGTTCTTACCTTTTAAAGGCAAAGTGGGGTGAACCAGGATGTGTGCTAGGGTGTCTGGGTGTGACTTGTGAGATCATTAAAGTAAGTAAAGCTATAAATGCACTTATGTGGTAAGCATTACTGTTCAAAGTAATGGACAAAATAAAGCATGCATAACAAAGTAATGTCTACCTGCTAATATAAAGCATACTTAATTAAGGCTTATAAAAAATACGAGGACTACTTGTCAACATATCTTAGGAACACAATAATATCAAGGATGTTTTTAATTGAACCAAAATTTTCTAGGCTTGTCTGATTAGGTCTGTTTAATTCAAGTCTGGTCTGGCCTGAACTGGACTAGTTTGTTCTGGCAGATGTCTGCACTGCGTGTATTTTACAAACGTCGAAGTCTAGTCTGTTCAGGTCTGAGAATGAAATAAGTCCAATTAAAAACATCCTAAAAGTCGTAAAAGATATTGAAGCCTAAACTCACCCATAATCATCGGTACACCTAACTTCCATAAGACACTGTCTCAATGCGTGCATATAAATCTGCATATTATCAAGTTCAGGTGTGAATACATGTCTTCTAACCACTTTTTCCAAATTACTTATATAAAAAAACAAAGCACATATGTAAAAAGAACTCATACCATAAGTTATCTAGAACAACCTTTAAATGTTACTAAAGCAAAAATACTTAGTCTCACACAAAGAAGAAGTAATTTTATAATCCATCTTGTGGTGTGAGTTATTAAGAAGTAATTTTATAACACTCACCAGATTCATCTGCTTAAAAGAAAAGCATTTCTTAATTAATTGTAATGGTCTCAAGATTACTGGAACAATTGGAAAGAATTATATCAGGATTTCTGTGAGACTACTGTGATTGACTACCTTGGCCATAGACTTAGAGAATCACGGCTAGGAAGTGATTTCAAAAACCAAATTTGAATAAGAGAAGAAATATTACTGAAAGGAATGAATCTTTCAATAGACTAATAAGAAGAACCCAATCTGACTTTAGTATCTCCTAACTTATACATTAGAAAACCCAAAATTCAATTACATAACAAAGATTAATAAGATGAATCACTTGACAGAAAATGAAATGTTGCAGCTCCTCTGTGAACATTTGGAAAGAATTAAATAAGGATTTCCGTGAGACCACAGTTATTGACTACTGTGCCCATATACTTAGAGAATCACTGGTAGCAATTGATAAACTCTTACGCAGGAAGGTTTTCTTCATGGTCCAATCTTAAATAGGGGTGGGTTCGGTTCTTGCGGTTCGGTTTTGACCTAAAACCAAATGTAGAATCAAAGTAAATAGTTCGGTTCGGTTTCGGTTCGGTTTTACACTCCAAAACTTGGAACCACGGTTTGATTGGTTCGGTTTGTTTCGGTTCGGTTTCGGTTTTTTCGGTTTTTTTTACCAAAAATTTTTCACTTGATCGATTTAAAATTGATATAATACTTAGAGGGATCAAACATATTACATAAAGAATTCAAGCACAATACAATGACAAATAAAATTAAAATGAGAAGAGATAAATATGTCTTGAATTATATGAGTATGCGAGATAGATAAAAATGTATATATTATTGATTTAATTTGTTTGTAAGTAGTTTGAAATTTTTTCATGAATATATATGTTCTATGTGATATAGTTGAGATTAATATTTATTGTTTTATCAATATAAAATCTTTAAGACTTTAAGTTATCTAAAAATAAAAATTAATTACTACTAATAACTAGTAAACACATATGATCATAATTCAATATAACTATTATTACAAACAATGAATGTGTAAATGAATTTATAAACTAAATTAAATTAAACATAACACAAACATTATTTCTCTAACACAAGAAAACCAAATACTATTGATGATATTACGATTAATTAGAATTAATGCTTAACAATTAACATATAAATTTCATATTTTAAATAGTTCGGTTTGTTCGGTTCGGTTCGGTTTTGAAGGGTAAAAACCAAAACTGAACCGAACAACTTCGGTTCGGTTCGGTTTTTTACATTCGGTTTCGGTTTCTTAGCGGTTCGGTTTTATTTGGTTGCAGTTCGGTTTAATTTGATTCGGTTTTCGGTTTTCGGTTTTTCGGACCCAGCCCTAATCTTAAATATCACAAGTTGAACAAAGAGTACTTTTGGGGATGTTTTTGAGAATGTGAAATATGATGGAGGTCTAAAATATTGAAATGTTAAGTTTCAAAAGAGCACACTCCAAAAATGAAGTGCAATTATTTTTCCAAATTTAAATGAAGGTTCACTAATTAATCACCGATGCATAAAGATGAATAAAAAGGCCAACTAAAAAATGAAAACTACTTTCATCTTGTTCTCCTTGGCTTCTAGCCTCTTCTCTATGTTCTTTCGCTTGTTTTAAAAAAATATAAGATCAATCAGAAGAAAATAAGGAACATGAAAGCAAACTCTTTTTCTTCTTCTTCTTCTTTGCTACTGCAAATAGGAATTCTTTAGTGCTAGTTTCAATGCTTATTGCTTAAAGCAAGAAGATGAAGGAAGAAGCTAGCTAGTGACGAAAATTTTCATTAAAAAATTGAGTTCATGAGAATTGATTTGTAGTTATATACTGAGTCTAAACCAAACCAGTGTTGCGTCTACGATATTGATTCCAGATTGTATTTTTAGGATGGAGAGGAATACAATAATTACTCTTGTGGAAAACCCCTGATCAATAAACCCATATTGAAATAATTGAATAAATATAGACTGGTTTTTGATTTACCGGCTTCTGGAAGGTGTTGTTTCTGTCTTTCTGAGATTGGATGTATTATCTTCCATGACTCCGCTTCTTCTATTTACGACCTTTGCCTGGATGTTCAGATGAAATTGACATTGAGAGGAAAAAAATGTATTGCAATTATGCAGAGGAATAGAGGATTTGATTCGAGCTCGGATTCGTTTTTTTTTGTTTATTATTAAGCACGGCTGGATTTATTGCCGAACTCTACTTCGACTCTGGGGTAGCTTTGTCTTTTTCTTTGTTCAAATAACCAGAATCCTGACATGAAGTAATGGCTTATTGGCTTTTTCGAGCTCTTCCACAAAGTATGTCCAGATTTTCATGCACCACACCACTGTCACGGATTATCTGCTCTCCCGCAAACATCTTTAGTCATTTTTAAAGTAGGATTACGCGCAATTTTGATGTTTGGGAGGCTCTCACGAGATTAGGAAGTAGGAAGGAGAACATCTCCCATTCGGGGGGAAATAGTTGCAGCCAAAATGAGAATCGGTTCCCTGAAAAACCTAGCTAAGCGCGCTGTGGATCAACATCCGCGGTGGCGCTCCTCCGCGTATACGGGTTCTGGTGTCTCTTCTCAATCGCATTTTTTTCAACAATGTCGGAGTTATTACTCTCGATCTCACACCAAGCAGTGCAGTAGAACTAGGGTTTCCAATGCTCCGTTCTTTCACGTATCTCCGTTTCTGCGGAAGTGTTATTCGTCGTCTTCGGATTCAAAGAAGGGATTTTTAGCGTGGTACTTGGGAATGCTGGATTCACGTCCCATTCTCACGAAGAGCTTATCTTCTTCTCTCATATATGCTGCTGCTGACTCCACCTCCCAGGTATATATTAATTTTAAAAATTCATTCAACAACAATTTCATCTAGTTTTCTGATTCAAGTATCATAGAAGCACTGGTAATTATATGCAAGCAGTTTTTGATTGCCGAATCACCATTTCCTTGTAAAATTGAATCTTTGTGGTTCGATCTTCCAGATGATTACAATGTCATCATCAGATTCCTTAGATATAATAAGGACGTTGCGAATGGCCAGCTTTGGGCTAATTATTTTGGGACCAGCTCAACATGTGTGGTTTAACTTTCTGGGAAGGATATTGCCAAGACAAGATGTGGTTACTTCGCTGAAGAAATTGGTGATGGGGCAGCTTGTTCTTGGACCATTTATTACCGGGACATTCTTCTCTTTCAATGCCGGTTTGCAAGGTTTATCTGATTAACTTTGATTCATTGTCTCATGATATGTACTGAGATTTATCTAGATCATAGAATAGAATGTCATTTCATATTGTTCAAGGTCCATTGGGTAGTCTTATTGCGCTTATTCTGCTCATCAGCAAAATAATGAGAATAAGTAGCTAAATCTCAGGGTTAAACTCGGTTGCTATTGGGTGGCCACTTTCTCTTCGTGTAAATCTTATAAGCCTTGTTTTTTAACAACCACTAGTTAATTTTACTGCGTGGGCCAAATTGGTTAATAAAAATGTTGGACAAGATGTACTTTTTTGTTGAAGCTAACATGATGATTTTAGCCTTTTGTCATGTACTTTATATTCAACTTATCAAAAAATTATTGTTAGTACTCCCTCAGTCCCATCTCGTAAGATACACCTTCTTTTGTGAGCTGCCCCAAAAAATATGAACACTTTCCTTAGTTGAAAATCATTGACTTTTTGTTTTTCCTACTTTATCACTCTATCTCCTATTTCATCTTTTTTGTGGATCATACTACTTTAACTTACTTTTTAGGGTTGCAATTGTAAAAGTATAACTATATCATTTATTTTCTTAAAACCCCATCCTATCTCAAATGTATCTTACATTTTGGGACAGAGGGAGCATTTTACTGTTTCATAGTTGATCAATATTTGCCACAATTTGAACAACTTCAGCAACTTGAAAATTTCATCTTCATCCACCCTTAACGAGCAAACCCTTTCTTTTTTTGTAGTTTGCACATTTTCCTATCGTCTGCCACTTGAGAGACTATATCACTCTGCATTGATGCAGGAATTAGTTCTAGATAGTTTCTTTAGTTGGCATCCTTATTCCTTTCTTTATTAAGACTTGGTAGCATTTCAAGTTTCGACCTTGTAGCACCCTGAGTGAGCTCCATGGACTCATGGAGTACTGAATAAGATATATTACACTGGACGTTTTTTATTACGATGAAAGTGTTATTAATATTATTGTTATTTGATATTTAATTTTCAACAAGCTGCTAGTTTGCAAGATCAAAAAGATGCAAGGAAACAAAATGCCACCACAATTTGTGACTAGATGGATCATTAGATTTCATCTATGTTATCTTTTATTGTCGTTGTTCTGACGTGGATTAGATCATGGGAAAATGAATGGATTTGCCCTTAAACTATTTCCTCAGTGAACAATAATGTTAAATATCACAGTATTTTGCAACAGTAGAACACGAAAATAGTAAATATGGTATGTTTGCTATATATTAGTGAGCACATTTAACCTTTATGCCCAACAGTTAATATGGTATGTTTGTTTAACAGAATTTATGTTCCTTATCCCATAATCCCATTAGATTAAATAACTTATCTTTCCATCAGAAACTCAGGTGTGAAGTCTATTTAATATGCATTTAAAATCTGTGAAGGTGAAAGTGGAAACGAGATTGCTGCAAGATTGAAGCGTGATCTGCTGCCAACACTGATGAATGGTCTCATGTTTTGGCCACTATGTGATTTCTTGACATACAAAGCAATTCCAGTCCATTTACAGGTCTGTCTTTTTCTTTTCTTACAGAAAGAAGCTTCTGCAGTTATATTTCATAGTCATATCATACAATTGCAACCTTTTACTATTATCTGTGTCTAGAAGAGTAATATTTATTTAATACTTTTTTGGCCAGCCACTGATGAACAGCTCATTTGCATATTTATGGACCATTTACCTAACGTACATGGCAAGTTTGAAGAAAGCAGCTACAGATTAGTTTGCTCACAAATCACAATTCGGATTTCAAGTCAAAATGAGGAATCGGGTGATTTGCCTTTGTCTGGATCAGCCTGTGAATAGAGATTACCAACATTTTTTTTTCAAAAAGGGAAAACACAGTTTCTCAAAGTGTAATACAGACATTACAGATTATCGTTTAGTGCCAGTTATTTGATTTCTGCACCTTTACTATTAGAGTATTAGTAATATGGAGAGATTTTGCTATGCTATGTTCTTTGATCTCATTTCATTTGTTGACTACTCTATTCATTTGCAAACCCCTTTATTGCCCTTCAAACATTTCTTCTGTGTAACCCTAGTACCAAGCCATAATATACTAAGCTAGTTCTACAGAATTAGCTTTCTAATTTGCAATTAATTAATTTGCTTCGTAAGAATCATTCATCCGGTTAAGTACTATACTGCAGAACTGTGTGAGTTTGAAGGGCTGGAGACTGGAGAGTACTTTGTGGACTTCTTTCAGGTCTATGCTTTTCTATGCGTTCGTTTGAAGTTTTGATGTTGATGGTCATTGAAATACAACCCAGCAAGCATCCGGGATTTGGTGAATTGGTGGTCCAAAATAAAGTTAAATTGACTATATAAAATTCTGAAATGGTTCAAATAGAATTATAGAAATTAGAAAGGTCTTAGCTGAACATAAAAATCATTTGATTACAAATTCCACCGATAAAATGGATTGTTTAAGGAAAAATGCGGTAGTGTACTAGTGTTGAGGTAATATGTTAAAGTACGACATGTAAAAATGTAAAATGTGTATCTTTTTAAAAATTTAATACCACTATAATACGTGGTATTTCGCTTTTGTAATTAAAAAGTGCATCGCACACACATATTGCAAGAGTGATATTGAAACACTTTTTCATATGTACTTGCAAATCAAAGTCTCTTGATGAAACATCGGTTGAACGGGAATGAGTAAAATCATCCCTTTTTCACGGGAAGAGTACATGTGTGTGTTTGTGTGAATCATTTTGGAATCCTGAAAACTATGGAACTTGCAACTTGCAAGTTAGTTCATCTCTTACAAAATCAGAAAATTTACTCTTACATGATTGATATTGCTCTTAATCGTGAAATTATAACAAAATCACAAAATTTACTCTTACAAATGAACTCATATGCGTGACCTAAAGGCGTTGTAAGGTAATAATACTTTGACATGTCTATCCGTGACTCCGTGAGGCAATGAAGTTGGTCCAAGTAGATGACACCTAATACTTAAGTTAATCCGATTGGGAAGTTAGTTTTAATCGTCATATAATCACTATTTTATCTTCGCTTTAAAGTTTGAGAGTCAATTTCTTGCTATGAATATGAATTATTATATTTAGTTCTCTCGGGTTAATTCATCGAAATGATTAATCAATGCGAGTGATTTCATTTACTATACAAATGACATCATTGTTGGGAATCAAAACTTTAAAGGGCAGGTCAATTGACTCGTGATTTACTCTTGTTCCAAGATGTTGGGTGTGTATTTCAGCTCAGGTCTCCAACCAAAACAACTCACACACACCACCCCAAGATTGTTTAGCCACTCCACTCACCTTGTTTACCACTCCCTCACACTCTAACTCCACACAAAGGAAGGAAGAGGAGCTCACTGTATCACTCAAAAGGGAAGAGGAGCACTCAATTATAGTAGGCTATTATTCGCTCATGGGTGTCAAAGACAAACAAAGGTGGGGCTCGAGACAGGCTAGCAAAAGTCAAGAGGACAAGAGACAAATAATACCAAGTCAATAAGAGTTGGCAACGGATAGGAAAAGCCAGGCTAGCTAGATAAGTAACAGTGTAGGAAGTAGGAATAAACATAGGGTGCAGACCTTAACATAATAAGTGGAAGGGAGGCCTTGGTAGGACCAATACCTCCAACATTCTCCACCTTATTGGTCCTAGGTGGTGTAGAGTAACAAATACACGGTTGTGAGGAGACTCATCATCGCTGAACCATTACAAGTACATCATTGCGATCATACAAGTAATAGATGAGAACCAAAGTTCCCTTTCGGACCAAGCTTACCGTACAAACCCACTTCACGATGGACTGAACTCTACCAATCGGTCCTCGAGTTCAGAACCAAAACCATCACAAAACTATTAACAAGCACAACACATATTAATAGACCACGCAAGCAAGCATCCGGGAGAAGTTGGGGATTCCAACTAATCCAACAACCACACAAAGCAAGTACAAAGAAAATAAAAGAAACAATATTATTTCTATAACTAGCACAGGCGGAGCTCACATAATCACATGGTATCACATTTTCAAAACACAAAGAAAATAGCATACCAAATATCACAAAGATTTTAATTAATAGAGAATTAAGCACATTTAAAGCAAACTCAGAGGAAATATAGTCAAACACATTGCACATATTATTTCTCTCACGCTTCCTAATGTCTCTATCTCTAATAACATGGCAATCACGCAACTCAAGCATATTGCACACAACATTCATATCATGCTCCACCTTAATAGAAATATTATTTTCTTTATTTTCACCATGAAAAACATTTTCATCCACAAATTTGAGTTTGGTTTCAACAAGTAAATCAGAATGAACTTCGATAGGCAAATGCTCCACCTCATTTGGAGCAGCATCAGGAGAAACAAGCAGGCAAGGAAATTCATTTTCAACAAAAATGACATTTCTACTCATCAACACATTGAAGCAAGTTTCACTCCTACACCAAAGCCTATAACCCTTCATGCAATCATGATATCCTAAGAAAACATATTCCTTAGTCCTAGGTTCAGATTTATCATTCACACGATTCACATAAGCAGCACAACCAAACACTCTCAAATTTGGCAAGTCAAGTGGTTTGCCCATGAACACAGATTCAGGGCATTTCCCTCCTAAGGGAACAGACGGGGACAGATTAACCACATCAACAGCATAACAAATAGCTTCCCCCCAGAACTTATTAGAGAGCCCAGATGAAGCTAACATAGCCCTCACCCTCTCTAATAATGTTCTAACCATCCTCTCAGCAACCCCATCCGGTTGGGGTGTGGAGGGAATAGATTTATGCATAGAAATACCCCAAGTATCACATAAATCACCAAGCTGACTATCACAGAAATCAAAACTGACAGTGGTCCTTAAAAAATTAATTTTCTTACCGGTTTGTTTTTCAACAAGGGTTTTCCAGTTTTTAAACTTATCAAAAACTTCAGATTTATTCTCAATCAACAAAACCCACACTTTCTTTGAAAAATCATCAATCAACGTCAGAAAATAATTTTTCCCACCGTGAGTGGAAACACTATAAGGACCCCACAATTCAGCATGAATACAATCAAGCACATTAGTACACTTAGGCAGATCAGGAAAACCAACTCTAGACTGTTTTCCTAACACACAGGGTTGCACACAATTCACAGAATCAAGTAGGGGTTCAGCATGACAAACATACAAGTTGTTTTTCATCTCAGCTTTGAAAACAACTAAGCAACCCTTCACAACTTTCATGATTCCCTTTCCCCATTTTCCCTTCAAACCCTCATTTTCAAGAGAAGCACAAGATAACAAATTACAGCACAGCTCAGGAACATGCCTAACATTCTTCAAAGTAATTAAGCACATAACCAGAATAAAACCTAAGGCATACATCTCCTATTCCTAGCACATTGCATTTCTTCTCATTTGCTAAAGACACAAAGCCATGCTCAATCTCTCTATAGTTTGAAAAAACATTTTTCAAAGGGGACATATGAAAAGTACAACTAGAATCTACCACCCAATCTGATTTACCCAAAGAATCAGATATCACAGAACTCAAATAGTCATAATCACATAGATTTTTCATCATAAAAACATCACCTAAATCATCTACACACGTAGTCAAATTAGCATGCTCACTATGCTCATTTTTTCTAGATTTAGGACAGTCTCTTATGAAATGACCAGATTCGTGACAATAATAGCAACGCCTCGAATTAGACCTAAACTTAGATCTATGTCGTCTACTATTATTTTCTCTACCCCTCACATGCATAACTTCCTCGGATTTTCTACCCTCACCCATTTGTTTTAAATCTAATTCCTTACTCTTAAGACCATTTACCACAATGTCAAGAGTCACATTATCTCTACCATACTTAATAGCAGATTTCACATCACTAAAGGAATCAGGAATAGCATTTAAAAGAGCAATGGGGGGATAATCATCTATATGCTTATCACCACACAACTTAATATCCGAAATAAGTTTGGTAAAAACATCTAGATTTTCTTCAATATCTATAGACATATCTAGTCTAAATTTGAAGAACTTCTCAAGTAAAAATATCCGGTTAGGAAAAGAGGTCTCAGTATAAAGTTCATTCAATTTATCCCACAAAATTTTAACACTCTCTAAAATTCCAACTTTTCTAATCACGGAGTCAGATAAGTTCAAATAAATCACAGAACATGCATTTTCATTCATTTCAGCCCTTTTCTCTTCTGTGTCAGAAATTAAATAGGTTTCACCAACTGCTTTAAAACATTTTTGTTGTATTAAAATACATTTAATTTTTTGCTTCCAAATGCTAAAATCAGATTTTCCATTAAATGGAGCCATACCATCTGATTATAAGCAGACATTTTCACAGAGAAAAAACAAGCAACAAAATAAAATGTAAATTTTGCTGAAAACAATTTAAATATTTATAAGGCTAAAACTATACGGAGCAATTAACACGAACACGTGGGGAGTATTAATGAGCACCAAACTCAACTTCAAACCCCTTGTTCTTCCGTATAAGCACAAATAAATAATAAATTTTCAGCACAACACAATACAACAATTCAAACAATTTTAACAGCAATGATAAACCTAAAAAATGATTTCTACACAATAAAAGATTAAATCACTACAAAAGCGATAAAAGGTTTAAAATCAATATACCAGAGCGAAACCCTAAGAGAGGCGTTTCGACCTTACCCACCCAATTTTAAAAAATGGGATTTTCGGAAGGTTTGACTGGAGTGGACTGCCCGTTGACCAAGTTTGACTAGCAGTTGACCAGCTCAGTTCCAGCCCAAAGTCTTCTCTCTGCTTCAAACTTCAGCCTGTGCTCCAGTGCTCTAGCTTGTCTAAGTGCATCTCAAATCTAGCCCAAGTTGAAGCCCAACAGTACAGTAAGCTCCCAGCAGCCAAGACGCCCAGGTCCAGCCGTGCTCCAGTGAATGCGCGCACCAATCCAGCAGCTAAGAAACCAGTCCAGCTCTCTTGCTCTAGCTTCACGTTTGCGTCTCGCGTGCTGCTACAGAAACACCAGAAGTTCCGTTTCAGGCCTTCACGCTCTAGTGAATCACGAAGCTTCCAGATCCGGCCCAAGTTCAGCCGAAGTCCAGCCCCTATCCCTGCGTTATTCTTCGTGTGCTCAAGTCTGGCGTCCGGGTCCAAGAATCATCAACAGGTTGTCTTCTGCGCTCAAAGTCGAGGCTACGAATCCCAGTCTCGACGAACGCTCTTCCTGCAGCGGTGACCTCCAGCGACTTCGGAGAATCAGCAGCGGATTCGACGGCGAATCCAAAGCAACGGCCGAACAACGACCCAGATGCGACGGATCTTTCAGATTTGAAGCGAAAGCCACCTCCGTCGAAACCTCCAGGCAGACGGATACCTCCTGCAGCGATATTCAGAGGCTTCAATCGACGGTCGATTGAACAGCTGACCTCCACGAACAATCGAACGGAATTGGGGCGACAGTGTCTGACGGAGATGATGACGAACGACGGTTCAGGCAGCGGGCAACGTAGAACAACGGACCAAAAATTCGGCAAAGCTTCCAAGAGCTTCAACCGGCGGCGTACGGCGGCGGACGACGGCGGACGACGGCGGCAGACGGCAACCAGGCTCTGATACCACTGTTGGGTGTGTATTTCAGCTCAGGTCTCCAACCAAAACAAGTCACACACACCACCCCAGGATTGTTTAGCCACTCCACTCACCTTGTTTACCACTCCCTCACACTCTAACTCCACACAAAGGAAGGAAGAGGAGCTCACTGTATTGAACTCACCGTATCACTCAAAAGGGAAGAGGAGCACTCAATTATAGTAGGCTATTATTTGCTCATGGGTGTCAAAGACAAACAAAGGTGGGGCTCGAGACAAGCTAGCAAAAGTCAGGAGGCCAAGAGACAAATAATACCAAGTCAATAAGAGTTGGCAACGGATAGAAAAAGCCAGGCTAGCTAGATAAGTAACAGTGTAGGAAGTAGGAATAAACATAATAAGTGGAAGGGAGGGCTTGGTAGGACCAATACCTCCAACACAAGAGGTTGTATCCCCAACTCCAACACCCCACACCCCGACTCGACAAGCCATTTTGGAGGTTGTATGTCACGGTGACTCAGTCAACCTAATGACGATAGATCTTATACGTATGCGCACCAGAGATCTAGTCCAACACAAAGAAGCTATAAGCCTATAACCTCCACACGATCCGGATCTCGATCTTTGGTTAATATTCCAACTTTCCCACCACCAGAGGCGGAGTCATGACATTGGATCAAACTGAGCCGGTACGAAGAATATTTTTGAAGAAAAAATACACAGAATTTTTTAAATATAGGATGAGTCAAGATTCAGATTGCCCCCTAGCTAAACTTCTTTCCGCCACACAACTAACTCAGCTACCCGTACTGGTTTGTGATTTACTTTCTTATGACTAAAGGGTGTGTTCTTGAAAGCCTGAGAGTCGTTTGAAGTGAAGGGGGCGTTTTCAATTTTGTTTTGGACATCAAACGGCAACAGAAAAACCAACGGTCCGGCTCAGAGCATAGAGCTCGTTTCCCCCGCAAAATGGACGCCATTCAATGCTTTTCCCCACTCTTCTTGTGTTTATTTATTATTATTATACCAAACAAACTAATGCCTTTACTCTCCTCACTTACTTCTCTGTTTTGCATTCAACTCACCTTTTTAAAATTCATTAACGGCGAAAGTGTATATATATACTGAAACCCAGTGCTTCTTATCACTGCAGATTTTTCTTGGTGGCTCTCAAAACTATTCTTCTAAGAAATTTCAGCATCCAGAAAATAAGTCAGGCCACTCTTCTCCTGCCGTTGAATGTTGTGAATGCAATAAAAGAAAATATCATTCTTTCTGTGTTTGAAGGATGAAGTCTTTTGGTTGCTTTTCAGTTCTGTTATTCATGGCTGGAACAGCTTTCACATGCAAGCTTTCACATTCCACCATTGGAACTTTCTTTTTAATTCCAGGTTTTCTTTTTTTTTTCTTTTCTGTGCTAGCTGTAAAATGTGGGATTTTTCATTGTGGGATTTCTCTGTTTTATGAATGTTGCTAGCTGTAATTTGGTTTCCAGGCATCTGCTTATAAATGTGAAAGCCTGAGAGGTGAAATGAACCAAAATAAGTCTACTAAAATGGAATTATATCCACTAAAATAGGTGTATAAAAACAACTATTTGCTATATATGCTGTCATTTTCGATTTTTGGGTTTATCTTTAATAAGTTATATTCCATTAGCTGGACAATAAATTAAGTAGTACTCCCTTCGCTGAAATAGATTTCGCCAACTTTTCCTTTTTTTTTTCCAAAAAAATTGTTATTTTCTTGTAGTAATAAATTTGTGATCTACTTATTTTTCTCTCATTTGCACAAAATTCAACCACACAATTTACTTTTCTAATTTATAACATAATTCTAAGTGTGCAATATCCATCGGGATGGAAGTTATATAAAATAGTTCTACACATCAATCAACATTGATGTTTAGAACAACTAACAGAAAACAGAAACTTGCATTTTTTATTTACCGTGACTAGTCCATGATTGTGCAAGAAAAAACTAGATAAAAAAAAGATGATTTGAATTAGGGGTGGACAGGGTCACGTTTGGGGTTAATTCTAGTCCTGGACCGGCCAAGCTTAAAAAAATGGGAAGCGCATCACGGCCCACTTGTCCTGGTCCCGTTTTTTATATTTTTTTATTACATTTGTAAAACTTTCATCCACTGCAGACACCTGCCCGCCCTTTTTCAGCTTTTAAATGCATCTCAACCCTTTTAAAATACTTCCCAATGGTTTAAATGTAAAAAATCTTGACTAACTCTATCAGGTCTATATTATGTGATTAAGGGGTGTTTGGAACTGATTCTGTTTGTGCTTCTTTTTTAAAAACAGAATCACGATCAGAATCAGTTTTTAGAAATTGATCTTTCCTAACTTCTAAAAAACTGCTTGTTTGAGCACCGGAAGTACTTATGCACTTTCAATTCACCCATGGAAGTACACCTCAATATCTGGACCATGGAAGTATTAAGTATGGGTTAAAAAATGGTGTGTTATTTTGAGAAAGCTGGTTCAAGAATTTGTTCAAAACAACTATATATAAAATACTCCGTAACAAAGAAGCCCTTTGAAAAAATAAAACAAAATATTAATGATACATAAAGAGTTGAGATGGGGGGAGACCTTTTAGGATGAATAAAAGTAAATTTTAATAAAGCACTGGCTCAAGACTTCTTTTTTCGTTTTTATTTTCTTATTGTAATTGAGATATAGAAATCCTCCCAGCTGATGTAGCTTAATTAACTTCTTAGAAAAATTATAATATTGATGGAGAAGTAGGAACATGGCAACATGCCATTTGCACTGCAAACATATACTAATATTGTGGTACCTGTCATAAGTTTTTGTACAAACAGATCTGTTTCAAGTCGCATTATTTTAGCTACATACAACTGTATAAACAAAATTATCCCAAAGCTCTGATGTCTTTATGTTCGGTAGCTTAGTAGAGGTTAAATTTATTGTGTTGGAAAAATAATGTAGTATAAACAAAGAATTGATTTTTTATACCACTTACCACGTTCTGCTTGTGTGCCAATGCCACTATTTTCTTTGGCTCAAATCGTCCATGGTTTTACTTTAAATTAAATAAATGTTTTGGTTGATCTAATTTAGTTTCTTTAATTGTGGTTAATTCAAAACGTCTGATTTGTTCAAATATGATTTTTTTTATAAATTGTTTAAATATGATTATATCTTGTCATTTGGTTTTATTTTAACTTAAGATAAATCAGATTTGAATAAATTAGTCGAATATACGTACTCACACTATATACTGCGTATTTACTTGACCATATCATACTAAAACAAACTAGAACAAATCCAACTTAAATAAAGCGAATCACACTACAGCAGAAAATTAAACTTAATATTTGCATGATGCATGAGTGGTACAAGAGTAGAAATAGGAGAAGTGGTGATTGTCATTTCATATCTAAAGAACGCACTAAAGCTATGTTTGCGTATGTAATTTGTACTGTAGTACTATTTAAAAGTGATATGTTTAAGAGATAATTAGAAAGGTTAATTATAATAGGTAGTGTTTGTAAATAGAAGTCATTTTATTTAAAATGTAAAAAGTTAAGTGTTTATTAAAAAGGTGATTTGTAGTCTAATATATTAGTGATAGTACAAAAATACCCGGCTTTAAGAGTTATAAGGAGTATATATATTGTCAAAAAACCTACGCTTCAAGAACACTCATGCGGAAATCTATTTTCCTTTGGAGCTCCGGGATCGTCAAGGGTTTCAAACGTACCTTTTGGTGAGACCAATTTTCCTTATCAATCTGCTCTAACACGATTAGAGTATTAGACAAGAAGTTATCGTTTACATTTTTAATCTCGTTGTTTTAATGGATTTATTTATATGTATTCAAACAATGAAATTGAAACCCATCCCTTCTCTCCAAGTTTTTGGAGTCGTTTTACCATATTTAGGGGCGGATACGCGGATGGTAGTGTGAGGGCAGGGGTGAGCTTCGGTCCAACCCAATATTTTTTAGTTAGTATAGGTATATGTTAAATTCTCAGCCCATCCCAAAATTAATTCCCAGCCCACCAAAAAGTTAATTCCCAGCTCACAGCCCAGCACTAAACTTATCTGCGCTTCTCGGCTTACATACGCGAATTGGAGTTACCGTGTGAGGATGAAGGAGCTCGATTGTGCAAAGAACGATGAGGGAGCAGTCCAAGCTTGAACCTGCGATGAAGAAGTGAACACCAGCCGCGCCGCTGACGTCCTCCATCCACCTGCGTCGTCCCACTCGTCTGCCACTCCGCCCTTATTCTCTGGACTCCGACAGTCCACCTTTGCGCAACTGCGCCTTTGCCTCCCTCCAGGACTTCAGGTGAACTCCAAATCTATTTCTTTTTTAGATTTTTAATTTATTATTTGATTGAGTTGGTGTTAGATTGTGATTTGTGAATGTGTTATACCGTATTATCATTATTGTGTATTAATATATATTATTATTTTTAGCATTTTAGAGTTTTAGGGTTAGGGAATCATTTTAAATTATAAATTAATTTTTCAGTACATATTTTTTTAACTCCAGGGGGTCCGGGGGAGGGGCGGCCTGAAGTAATATGGGCTGAAACTCACTTCATTGAGTTTCGAACCCTTTTGTGCCTAACATATTTCGAACTCGAGACCTCCCACTAGGCACGGTAACCTCACAACCAGCTGGGCTGAATTGTTTGGTTATTTTTCAGTACTTAATTAAATAGTGTTTAATTCATTATAATTTTATAATGATTAAAGATAGAATTAAAGAGTAGAAAATGAATTAGTTATTATACAATTGAGAATACTTATTAGTTTTATGTACAACGATTGTTTTTTCCTTATTAGTTATATTTTTATATGAGTATTTTAATTTATACCAATATTGAAAATGTTTTTTAGAATGGATAATGAACGTATTGTTAAGAAAGGAAAGAAGTTGATTTCATCATTCTTTTCGAAAGTGAATCGTCAAACTAGTGAAGGGAGTTCTGAACCTATACCTACGATAGTGCAAGATCTACTCAATGAGATTCCTCCACATGTCCAAACCCCTAAAATCCAAACTATCTCAACTTTGGAGTTGTCTCCATCTTTTTCCATTGAGAGGGATCCGGGAAAAGAAAGCAAATTCTTGAATATCATGTCAATGTGTGAGATAAAGTGAGACGTGCATATCTAAATGTTGGGTCTTATCAACCGAGAATGGAAACTTATCTAGTTAAAAAGATTGGAGCTCAAAACTGAGGTTTTCAGAAACACTGGTTTGACAAGTTTAATGGTTAGAGTACTCACTGTGACTGATAAAGCTTACTCTTTTTTCTGTTTCCTTTTCTTGAATACTACTTCTGCATTAGTTAAGGAAGGATTTCAAAGTTGGAAGAGGATAAGTCAAGGAAGTAGATGTGCATTTCTTCAGCACATTGGTACTACAGAAAAATCACCTCATATGATGTGTGTTGAAAGAGCTGAAAATTTGAGGCAACCATCTGGTCATATTAAGAATGTTTTGCATGCCCAATCGCAACAAGAAAAGGAAAAAAAATCGTTTGCGATTGAGAACTTCTATTATAACTGTTCGATGGTTAGCACTTCAAGGTTTTGCCTTAAGAGGTCATGATGAATCTTTAACATCATCAAATCGGGGAAACTTTATTGAACTAGTAAAAGCTTTTGCGAGTATTAATATCAAAATTCATGAAGTTGTACTTGAGATTGCTCCAAAAATGCTCAGTACATTGCCCCCGAGATTCAAAAAAGAGATCTTGAATATAATGACGAATAGAGTTCATCAAATAGTTCGTGAAAAAATTGCAAATAGTTGTTTCTGCATTCTCTTTGATGAAGCACAAGATATATCTAAATAGGAGCATATGGCGATTATTATAAGGCTTGTGAACAACAGTAAAATTCTTACAGAGCGTTTATTTGCCATCGAAACTGTTGGTGACACTATAGCAACAACCTTGAAAGGTAAAATATGTGATGTGCTTGGTCATCATAATCTTCAAGTTTCATAATGAGAGGCGAAGGGTATGATGGTGAGAGTAATTTGCAAGGTTCATGGAATGGTCTTTAGACATTATTTCGTAGAGATTGTCCTTATGCGTATTACATGCATTGTTTTGCACATCGCTTACAACTTGCGTTGGTTTCTGCGGCTAAGGATGTTAGCTTAATTTGAGAATTCTTCTCTCACTTGGATAATATTGTTACTATTATCACTTCTTCACCAAAGCGGGTATCGGAGTTGCACGTGTCTCAAAGAAGTGAAATTGAGAAGTTATTAGCAACAAGAGAGCGTGAGTTGGGACGTGGAGCAAAACAAGTTGGTAATTTGCAACGATTAGGAGTTACTCATTGGGGTTCTCACTATTGCTCCGTGAAGAGTTTGATAGACATGT